CGGGCTGTTCGACAGGCGGCCCAGCCAACCTGCTAGTGGGATCTCGGCCTCGCACACAAATCCACTCAAAATGTTACTGCACTGAATGCATTCCCCGATACACTTCGCATATATACTCATTCTCTTGATAGTACCGTACACTTTATGGTACAGGACAGGTACGGGATAGCGCCAGGCATGCCGATGGCACAAACAAACAAAAATATTGTGGCCAGCTGTCTTTGTTGGTACGGTACGGTACGGGACAGATACAGGATAACGCCAGGCGTGACACAAACAAACAAACAAACAAACAAACAAACAAACAAACACCAAATTAAAGCTGTGTGGACCCTGGCTAGCGCCAGACGTTACTGAAGTAACGTCTTCTGCATAGCTACGGGAATAATTATAATTATGTGTAGAAAGTGATCATGGCATGATCACTTTCTACACAAATTTAGTCACATGACAAAACTGTGAAACCACTCTCAGTAGTGGCTTCCCGGTTCTATAATTATGACATATACATATACATGTACATGTACAAAGGGTCATGTATTATTTTTTTTATTTTTTTCTGAACCTCGTAGCATGCCAAGACAGCCAATTGACTTGAGGAGAAGGTGAGACCAAACCACGGAAGAAGAGAAAAAGAGAAAAGAAAAGCACGTACACAAAAGGGGTAGGGATTAGCAAGTTACAAAGCAATGGGATGCCCGGCCAGCGAGCTATGCAGCGAAAGTGGTGTACATGTACATGTATACTTGACACGTACATAACGTAAAACTAATGTCGAATGTCGCGTATAAAAGCAGGTGCTTACGCCGTATAAGCCGATGTCAGTGCTAGGCTTCTATTCAAGTCAGGTTTCTATTCAAACCACGTATCTCTATGTATGTCAACAATAAACCAGGCTTATGTGCTGACAGTGTATCTTAAAAATCAGGCTTCTATTCAAAACAGGCTTCTATACAAGACACTAGAGTATACACGTACACGCCGGTATACACTGTAGGTTTTCACTTTTCACTGTTTATACGTGTGTTAGTGTAGTGCACACTGTTTCAACCTACCGGTAGTAGCCCATCGGCCCGCATGTCTGGGATGGGAACGACAGACACGGAATACTCAGCTTATCACGCGGCGCAAACTAACTTCAGTGCACACATTCCGACACGTAGCATGCACCACCACACATACAATGTACACTTTTATACAACGTATTGTACACACATGTATCAATGAACATTCATATCGATAATTAAATAATAAAATTGGATAAAAAGAAGGAAACAAAAATACTTTGGTGGACAGTTAGTCATAATCCTATCATTTAAATGATAGCCTTTGATAGGATTATGACTAACTGCATGTCCACCAAAGTAGACTCATCATATACACTACACCAGTATACTGTCTGACCGTGATGATGGGCCAGGCCCGGGCATTTGGTGAACCCTTTCTGGTGTGTGCCGGGAAGAGACCGTGGCTGAGTGAGGGTTTAAAATAATGGATATGTTCGTGAAACTCAGAGTTACGAAACCGCAACTGCTCGTTCTTCTGTCTGTGTATTCCGCTCTTGGCCTTGGGCAAATTAAGCCCTCTACGGATGGTGGATGAACCGCATTATGGTAAATGGATATGCCTACATGAACTTCAAGTATTCAGAGAATACAAAAAACTGTTTGGTGAAAACACCAACATGTATTAGTACCGAAGCACAGAGTAAGCAATCCCTATTTTAAAGTTAAATAAGAAAGTTTGTCATACATGTACATGTACCTTCGCCTCAGGAACGGGTGTGCAGCGATACGATTTTCTCATCAGCGGCACAAGACAACAAAGCATGTTACAGAGCATGTAGATTTACATGTTCATGGTGGTAGTGGTTATTGTTACTTTGATGTGTGAAGCACACGCGCGTATTACAATCATACTAAAAGTGTGGACATTTTGCATTTTCGTGACACTGTCAGACCGTCGTCCCCATCGAGAAGAATGCCTAAGCCGATGACGTCCGATGGCCGACGTCTCATGAACGTGGCTCGGAGCCGGTGATAGCACGCGGTGTTTTGTTGGAGATGGGTATACAGAGTGGTCCACCTCTTGCAATGAGGAAAATCGAACAAACGGCTCTTCCTGGTGTAAAGCAAGCACTCCGTGTGCTTACCAGATATAGGCAAAGGTATTGGTGCTGTTGTCGGAGCCGCTCATACTGGTAATGACAAGGATAATGCGACAATATTAGTAGTTTCCAGCAACAGCACGGTTTGCGCTGCAACAATGTGACGTGCAATATTGACACTTCGACTCGTTCATTTAGTGGGTACTGTCTGTATACGTGTTCCAACAACTGCTACCATCATGACTGTACAGCACCCGGATTGCAGTGCAAGGTACATGTATCTCTCCCCCCCTCCCCTGATCCAGGTGTGCACTGCTATTCTAACAGAGAATCAGACGCACGAAGTGCAAAGCATACAACGAGATCACGCCTCGTACACTCCCAGGCAAATTCGTTATGTACAGAATAGTGAGTGACCTTGTGAAGTTAGTTAGTTGTGGTTGGTGTACCGTCACCATGTACCGTTCGTTGCTACAAATCTGTATTACAATTTTCTTCAAGTCAAAGACCACGGACGGTGCCCACGAGATCATCACCCACCGTGTGACTGTGAATATCAGATTGGCTGCTACTAGTACGGTACTAGCATTACATAACTGTACCATTGTTTAGATGCGTCAATAGCACAAAGTCGAAGACCCCGGTAACGACCGGCCCTACAATGCCTCTCTTCTATGGGCTACGTGATACCAAGAGTTCATAATCCCCCTTGGTGATACCGGTACCGACGACTGTCGGATAACATGTGAAAGGCAATGCACTAGTCTGCACTGCATTGGCCATACACTATACAGTGACAAAGCAACAGGATCGAAGCGCTCAGTTGGCCAGTAACGGCACGATGCTGCGGCCTAGCGAACCTGAGACGACAACTCACAAACATTCCCTTGGGGGCGAAAATCGCGTGTACAAACTAGTCTAAGCTGAAGCACTGCGGTGCGGAACTTGAACTTGAATTATTCATAGCACAAACGGAGGTGAAACACGCAGCGGTCGGCAATATCCACTCTACTCGTCCTGGGTCCCCTTTCAACACGACAGCTTTCACAGGCTCCGTGCCTCCTTCCAGTTGCCTACTAGCGTTAGTATCACCCACACTGTGACCGTCTTCGGCCGCAGGCAGATTTTGTTGTCTCAGCTTGATGATTGCCACCATGAGTCTTCCAGTAAACAAAATCACAGCCACACCACTTCCGCTGCATAGCTCGCTGTGCATCCCATTGCTTTGTAACTTGCTGATCCCTCCCCACTTTGTGTACGTGCTTTCCTTCTCTTTTTTCTTCTCTTCTTCCGTGGTTGGTCTCACCCTCTCCTCAATTCAATTGGCTGTCTTGACATGCTACGAGGTGCCGAAGGCGGTGTTTACATGAGGCGTTTCAACCCGGGTTGAGTTCGACCCGGGTCAGCTTTCAACCCGCCATGTGCATAAAATGAATGGCGCGTTTACATGACGCATTGCGCTTGACCCGGGTTGAAATTTCGCCCCGGGTTGATTTCAACCCTCCCCCCAAGGGGAGGGTTGAAATCAACCCGGGTCAAGAAAATCGTACAAACGTACTTCTGTGCGTATCTCGCGCCAGGTTTGAACGGCACTGCAGATGCAAATTTCGCGCGAACGGATTCACGTGACCATACAGGACTGTAGAAGTGGACTTTTGGCTGCATATCAGTATTTGACCCGGGTCAACTGTCTTCATGTAAACGCTCACCTCTTTTGTCTATCGTACAGACTTTCAACCCGGGCTGAACTCGACCCGGGTTGAAATTTCTCATGTAAACACAGCCGAAGTAAATAAATAATTATAATAAAATTAATGAGTTCACAATATTGCCCATTACATGCGCAAAAAAGACTGGAATGGTAAACTGCATCTAAAGTACAAGGTCGCATCAATCTAAGCATTGATACATCTAGAGAACGGTTGATTCGTACTCCTTTGAAGTGTGATTGAACGCTAAAGAAGAACGGAAGATGGGAGTCGCTGGTGCCAGTACAGGGCCGGCCAGTCACATTATTCGTAACCCACACGAGTTATTTCGCTCCGAAAACCTTGATTTGGATAGCCGTTGGTAAGCTCCTGTGCACGTGTGTACTTTCCACGCGGGCGATCGGGCACCTTCATTGAGATCAGGCAGAAGTGCGCCGCGCCGCTATAATGTCTAACATAATTCAAGCAGACTGGTGCCAGCCGTGCACAATAGTGCTGAGCAATAAGACAGCTTGACAAGCATATTGCAACGCGAGCCATGCATCAATCTAATAGTCCCATACTACTTACTAGCAATGCCTGGTGCTTACGAAGATTACATAGACGTTCAGCAAACTCAATGTCACAATGAAAACCTCTTACTGCCACGGCTATTGTAGATTCTACGCGTCGCGTTTGTCAGTCCATGTACAATGACCAGGTAGCACTACCATGTCTTGTCGATACGTACTTCACACCCCTATTCAGGCTATTGTTGGCCGTGTACCGGGGCGATTGGTACAACTCTGTGTCAGAATGTATGTATATGTGTGTGTGTGCGTGTGTGTGTGTGTGTGCGCGCGCGTGTGTGCATGGTGCGTGTGTGAATGTGTGTGTGTGTGTGGGGGGGGGGGGGGGTTGGAGCGCTCGCGATGTGTGTGCGGAACCAGATTGAGTGCTGCTGTAGCCTGTAGTGGTGGCTTCCTGTTTTTGCAGCACGCGTGAAGTGCACTATTCCCATGTAAACACAACAGTGGCATCAGATAGGAATATTGCAGTCCAAGGATCAGCAATGATATGACTTGTATTGTGTGAACACAAGCACATGGAGAAGTTCACAACAATAGGAATTCCTAACAATTTTGCTAAACCAACACACCGGGATCGCTCTCTGGGCAATAAAAGGGGATGGATTTCGTCAGGACAGTTACAAATTCATCAGAGCACAGAGTCTTCCATTGGGTTACTGATCTCGTAGCTTGAGCTCGGAGACTCCCTCGATTTAGGCTAAGGCCTGTGGAGAATCCATAAATACAAATACAAAATAGCATCCTTGCAACTACTGAGTATATTTTGTTGCAGTGTTTTATAAAGCAAAGAAGGGCAAGATGAAGACTTTGTGGTTGTTAGCACTGGCTGCGTGTGTCATTGCTGTCGTCCAGGCGGCCACACTGAGAAATTTCCTGAAAGATAAGCAAGACCTCCATCTCTTTGCCAGAAGTAGTAGCGACGATGGAAGTAGCATGGATAGCAGCGAGGATAGTGGCGATAGCAGCGACAGCAGCGACAGCAGCGATGCTGGGAATGCCATGGCCACAGGGACAGGCGGAAGTGAGGATGGTGGAAGCGATAATGAGGACTCTAGCGAAGGCGACGCAGCAGGAAACATGGCAGCTCGCAACAACCAGAGTCCTAGCAACATCCCTGCCTCCCTAGCTCCGGGTGCTACTGCACAGCCCACAGCGGACACAACTGCTGGGCCGGGCACGAACTGCATCCTAGCACAAGAATGCACAGAGGTGGATCTGCTTCAAGGTGCAGCAGGTGATGCTGGGCTTAGTCCGTCAGCTCTCTATTCCGCCGCGTTCAGCGTTTTCAACGACAACTCCTTCACGCGCTCCGTGCAGACTCTCATAAGCGAATTCAATGATCGCAGTACTATCCAGTGTGCACGTGACTTCACTGAGTTCAATGACACAGCGCTTCAGGTGACGCAGACGGACGGTTCCGGCCTGTTCGACTATTTCTTCCCAGAGGCGCAGACTCCCGGACAGCCACGAACTCTGGAGAATTCGCAAGTTGATGTCACGCTTCCTAACCTGGGAACCTTTGGCGACCTGCGGCTGCGGTATTTCTTCGACGCGAGCGGCGATGTAGAGACGGTACAGCGATTTATTCGTCCTCCGAATCAGGCTACTGATATGTTCTTCCCATTTCCTTTGAGACAGACGGTGAGTTTCTTTGATTAGTTTAAACATTTATTGGTGAGTATACCTACGAAAAGAGGGCTAGGAACAAAACAAAAGTACATCCATGCGTGTATATGCGCTACATGAGGCGTGCTGGTGAGCTGCGGTGTATACCCCGACCAAAGCCAGGTCTGGGGAATTGGGGGTCAACGAACACAGCAAGCACCGGGGGAGGGGGGGGGGGGGTGGAGGGGATCGCACTATGATGGGCGACGTGTTTGTTTCCATTCCCTTTTCAATAGGTGATGAATTCACCATAGTTGGCTTATGATCAGTTTCTGAAGCATATTCCGTAATTGAACTTCGTCTTTTTGTGAGAGCGTGGATAATCCACGGACAATCATGCCTAATGATATTATTATGTTGACGATGGAGAGAGAGAGAGAGAGAGAGAGAGAGAGAGAGAGAGAGAGATAGAGAGAGAGATAGAGAAAGAGAGTGAGAGAGAGAGAGAGAAAGAGAGAGAGAAAAGATGAAGGACAGGATAACCTGGATAAGCGGAGGGAAGAAAACTGCGTCGGGATAAGGATCAGAATATTTCAATAGCATTAGCCATGAAAGTGAACCTTCAATAGAAGCTTGAATAGGAATGTGCTAGGGCAGGTTATTGTCCGCAAATAGTCTAGACTAAAACGTATTCATCAGTTTGTGGGAGCGAAAGGGAAAAGTCTGAAGAGAACCGACTGTCACCATTGTAGGACAGGGATATCTGCCAAGAAGAGTAAGACATACCTGGCAGTCATTGTTGTTGTTGTACAGCAATTTACATCACGGTCCTATTGAACAACCACTGACATAGGTATTGCTGTACCTCTCAACTGTACTATTTGCTACAGGTGTGCAGAGATATTCCTGGTCAATGTGCCACGAGTCAAGTGCCGCCAACAGTACCTCCAAACGTTCCCATCCCCGACCCATTGCCCGAGCCCAGCCAGACTGAAGTAGCAACTTTGGTCGGCATACAGTCATCCGCCGCACAGTGCGCAGTGTAAGCCTATCCCAGTATCCGACTCAACCCGCTGCTCTCTATTCACCTACCAATCGCAGCGTGCCGCATATGCACCATACTACACTAACTATGATCCGCCTGACCTTGGAAAGGAAACTGAGCTCACTGCCAGCACCATGACGGCTAGATGGGCAATTCCATCCCTGACTGAGTAATAATATTTCTACCGCACACTACCTATTTGATGACATCACCACTACACCAATGACTAGATTCTCTCAGCATCACGTCCTTCTTTTTCATATAGTTTAGTACTTTGTCAGCGCTAGGTCCCTTGATCTCCCCCCACCCCTCCCACCCCCGTTTTTTTGCCGCGCTCAGCAACATAAATTGGCGAAGTTGATCATTGGTCACATACATCATTTCTTTGCTAATATTATCAGTCACCAGAACCTTGATTTTGTATTTACCCCAAACGTCCATTGACATTGTGGACTATCACTATCACAGATATACATTCAAGTGTATAATCTAAACCGTTAACTATTACTTACAAGTAACTAGAATGTGGAGAAGATTGTAGACATTCGCCGGAGCAGGCATACAATTACGCCATTGCCCTGTGTGTTTGTTTGTGTGTGTGTGTGTGTGTGTGTGTGTGTGTGTGTGTCCGTACAGCAAGAGCGACAAGACACAGGCGTTGAACACACACCTCTTGATGTGTAGGTCCAGGTGCTTGTTGCCAAAGATGGACTTTTGCAAAGCGCCACACGCTCGGGAGGCATTCGCACTGCGGGAGTCAACATCGCAGGATGAACGGCCGCCGCTGTGAATTACCGAATCCAGATACTTGAATTCGGTGACACAGACAATGTCGACACCAGCCAGACTGAGGGGTACGCGGTCAGCAGCAGACACATCAATACCACTCATCCATCACACACAAACACAAAACAAACATCACGATGAGCAACTTCGAATCACTCTGGCTCGAACTTGATCTACCGAATGTATCACTTACAGTTGGATGCTCCTACCGTCCTCCAAACACAGATCCGTACACATTCTGCCAACAACTGGAGCCCTGTCTAGGTCTCTGCAACATGAACTCTCCGTTTCTATTGGTAGGAGATATGAACGCAAAGCACACCTCATGGCTTCCCACTGATAGAGCTGGCGACCTGCTGAGCTACCTACTAGACACTGCAGGATTAAACCAGCACGTGTCTTTTCCGACCTGTATTTCCAGAGGCAACTAACGTTACTTGAAGTCCTGCCTCGACGTTGTCATCTCCAACGTACCTGAAGAAGACCTATCTGTCACATCGTATCCCACTGTCGGAGCGTCAGATCAGATCAAGTACTCGTCGGAGGACATGTGTCCCTTGCATGCCCACCACAAGCACCAACACCCCAGCAAAACGTCGAAGCTTGGCGCTGGAACTGGGACCCTGATCCCGTCGTCGCACTGAAAGAAGCCCTGAGCTCAATGCAGCTTTTACCACCAGCTGAGGAAATCCCGCAGTTATCAATGACAGACCTCTGGTCGCATTGGCGTGACTCGCTTATCAACACAGCACACTTGTACTGTACTAACTTCGCACCACGACGTACACACCAGACATGCCCAGGTCGGCGACCATGGATGACTCAACAGCTTCTTTGCAGCATTAAACTCAAGCATCAGCTCTACCATCAGTATCTCAGAACTCGGGGCGCCGAGAACTGGCTCACATTCGTTACTCAACGCAATAGGACCACAACACTACTGAGAGAAGCTAAATCCGCCTTCGTACCCACTACCGCGCAAGGCGACGTAACTGGTGTCCCGCAGCGAAACCTGTACAAGTTAATGAAATCACTGCGGTCGTCCCCGAAAAAGGAGCTTCCACCTATGTCAGCGAACGAAACAGTGGCTAGATCAGATGGAGAAAAGGCGGAAGCGTTTAACAATTTTTTCATTTCGGAAAGCCAGAAGTCCGTCTCCGGACCAACTGAAGCCGTGCCAGAGATTGGCGTGTCGCGCATCATCGGAAGCGAACTGAAGGAAATCATCACCACCCAGGAGGAGGTCAGAAAACTCCTTTCCGCTCTTGATTTCCGGAAGTCGGCTGGGTACGATGGCATCCCGACGAAATTGCTCAAGATCACTGGCGACGAAATATCGTGCTCGCAACACCTTTCAACGAGTCCTTCTCGCGAGGCGAGCAGCCACAGGACTGGCGCGACGCCACTATCAGTCCTCTACACAAGAAAGCCTCTCGTGCAGAGGTCACCAATTATAGGCCAATCTCGCTCCTAAGCGTTGTCAGCAAGGTTCAGGAGAGGATTGTTCACCAACGCCTCTACACCCACATTGAGCCCCACCTACCGGCCGACCAATCTGGATTTCGATCTAAGGATAGTACTGAACTACAGCCCTCCCGCCTAGTGCATGAGATTTCCGCCAGCCGAGATTCCGGTCAGGCAGTGTCAGCATGCTTCTTTGACTTATCAAAGGCTTTTGACCAAGTCTGGCATGCTGGCCTCCTGGCCAAACTCGAGCACCTTGGTGTCCGTGGCATTGCCCTTACCTGGCTCACAAGCTACCTGACTCGCCGCCGACAACGCGTCAAGGTTGGCTCCGCTTTGTCATCATGGAAATCCATTCCAGCTGGAGTACCCCAGGGCTCTGTCCTGGTGCCTCTTCTTTTCCTGGTGTACACGATCGACCTTCCCCCAGCATGTACAAACTCTCACACTAAGTGCAGCCAGTTCGCCGATGACACAGCACTCATCACGACGTATTACACGAGGGATTTGTCAGCTGCGTTCCTCCAACGTGCCGTGGACGCAGCAGGACGATGGTTGAAGGCTGGCATCTCCTCGTCAACACCACGAAAACCGTTGTCCTTTCCTTCCAACCCCAACACACCATCCACATCACGCTCCACTCGCCTCGGCTGCAGCAGGTCCACCAACATAGGCACCTTGGTGTTACACTCCAAGACGATATGCGATGGACCCAACACATCATAGAAACCACCAACAAAGCCAAAAAACTACTACACCAACTCCACAAGACACGTGGCACAATGAACGCTTCCAGCCTATTGTTAATATACACGACCTACATCCGACCCGTTCTCGAATATGGCAGCCTTGCCCTCTCCAACACCACACAGCAACAGCGGGACACACTGGAGAGAATTCAACACCGTGCTATACGTATCTGCCTTCGGATTCCCCTCTTTGCACCAGTTCACCACAGCTCCCTCCTCCATCACGCAAAGCTCCCCACCCTTAGCTCACGACTCCTTGTTAAACAAGCCCTACTAGCATGGGACATCCACCACCAAACCTCCCCACCACACCTGCAACAACCACATCTTGCACCACAACGTCAACACCAACCATACACCCTTCGACAGAAAAGGACCTACTCCATCGGACACGCACACACGAACAGGCACCGAGATTCCCCCATCAACAGTGCCCTCACCCTCTACAACTCACTCCCTATCGACATCACAACCCAATCTCGTAGAAATTCTTTCCGAAACAATGCATCCAGTCTTCTTTTGAGCAGTACCTGTCCCTGCTCCGCGCATCCCCCTGGTTTCTGATATCTCGACCGTGTACTTAACTATCTCGATCACCCCTGCTAACGTTATTGCCCCCGCTTGTTTTTCATGATCCATTGCTTCTTGCCTCCCGGTTAATTTCCATCTAGCTGTTTCTGGCTATGACCAGTTCTATCGTACTTATTAATCATCCTTATTGGCGTCACGCCATCGTGGAATAAAAGAATAATAATAATAATACCAGCAACCAAAAACTTTGTCTTTATGGAACTAACCACGAGGCCAAATTCAGACGCCGTGTTGTCAAAGGTTGTCAATGCGGCCTCGGCACCAGCTCTTGATGTAGCGAACAGTGCCGAGTCATCAGCGAACTGAGCCTCCGTAGCAGTTGTGACAGGGTCGGTGCGGTGAGACTTCCTGTAGAGGTTAAAAAAAAAAAAAAAGTAAATTATCGTATCCGTTCCCGAAGGGAACTCACGACGGCCGCTAACACCCGATAAACCCTAGCGGCAGATGCAGCGCCTAACGGTGGGGGTGAGTGGGTAAGTCTCACAACCACTGGCACAAGTGCCGAAAACGACCCCATTAGCTGCATCCATGTACCCCTTGTGCCTGGCCACAAGTTCCCAGTTGACTGTGGGTAGCAGCACGGCTGGAAAAACCGCTCCCAGGCAGGACTTGAACCAGGTACCTCTCGTATCTCAATCATGGTCTTTGACCAACCCACTGTGCCTGCCTGTAGAGGTTACTGTAATGGGTAGCCGAGTGGTAGGCGCGGTGAAATCAACAAGAATTACTTTTATTCTACTTTCAGGTACACACCTGAGATATAATTGTTAATGAAAGAAGAAGCGGCAAAATAAATAACTTTCTCTCCGGTGCTCACCTAGAGGTTGACTCCTTCTTCTTCGAGTTAGCTTTCATTGCTATCTAATCTAATCTAATCTCATTAAAACAGAAATGCGAAGCCGCTTTTATGCAGCAGACGCCGTACGCTTATATGCGGAGATACACTAAAATTAATATACATAAGGTCGTTCCGTATTGCTTCCGTATTGGTCGGCAGGGATACTACACCCTCCCTTCCTACAGATAATCACGCCCTCGTGATTTTCAAAAAATTAGTGAAGAGTTACGAACACAGCGTCAACCGGAAGATGGCAAATTATATCGGAAATGATAACGTTTAGAGTAGACAGAAGAAATGAACTAATAACAAATCATAAAGTAGAAGCACACCAGGTTCACACGATCTCACGGGGTCAAAAGGGGAAAGAACTGTCCTCCAAATAGGACCTGAAAATCCACAGCACTCTTGCTGCACAACGCTGGCACAACCCGCCAGGAACATCGCAGTTCAAAAAACCGAACTGAATACACTATAACTATAAGGGGCGTTGTCACACACATTGTCCCACGTTAGCTGGGTAAACCGTGGCTCACCATGATCAGACGCCTACCAAACTAAACTGGATTCACACACTCGCATAAAGGAAGACTGAAAAGAACAGGGAGACTGAAGGAAGACAGGAAAGAAAATGCCATACCTAGAATCAGCGTTAGTAACCACGGCGGCGGCTGAAGCTGCGGCGGAGGGCAAGCCAGGTTTTATCTTCATCTTGGTTGAGCCGGTCAGTCAGAGCGGCTAGCTCGGCGTCAGACAAATGACCTCCCTCCTCGTCTTGAATCGTGGTCTTCACATTGTCGATAGCATCGCTTTGCGCGACGTAAAGAGTGATGGTCTAGCCAGGAAGAGTGTTGACGAAAATCTGCATCAAACCACGGAGGCGAAGTACCAAGTGAAGAGTGGACTCCTGCTTCCGACTGCGTGCCGGCGAAAATGAAACGCTGCTGGTCTTGGGGAATACCCTCCCTTGATTCGTCGCAGGGAGCTGCAGCGGGTTGAGCCATGGGGGTCTGGGGTCGAATCAAGTTGTTTTATTTAAAACTACACCGCTGCCACCAATGTAATGGGTAGCCGAGTGGTAGGCGCGGTGAAATCAACAAGAATTACTTTTATTCTACTTTCAGGTACACACCTGAGATA